TCTTTCTCCCAAGGAATCTCATCTACCCTATGGCTCCTACTACCATTTAAATGCAGATGACGCCCAATGACCAGCGCCAGCTTCTATTTAGACAGAGCTCTAGAAGTAGCTATGCGGAGTCCCATTAGACCTAGGGACACCTTAAACTGAACACGCCCTCAAGCAAATAACTTTTCTCCTCCGACCCCAAATCTGTGCTCTCCCTTCCATTTTGGGCTGGCTTAACGGCATTACCGTGTACCTGTCTCCCGACTTAGAAACCTCAGTGTTTTTCTCACCTGCTTCCTCTCGACCCCTACCAACAGCTGCCAAATCTTGCTGCTTCTAATTTTAAAACGTTTGCTTCTGTCTCTCCCAAACTCTATGCTACTGGCTTAAAATAGGCTCAGCACATCTTCTTTGGACCGTTTTTTGCAAGCCGGTCTGTAATCTGTTGTCCTGATAACATTCTCCCCCATCCACGTTCTCTAACTTGCCACTGTCCTTACAGAAAACAAAGCTAGTCCGGTCTCAGTGTAAATGCTTCTGGAGGTTCTGTATGCCCAAAGGGAAAAATTCCAACTATGTCGTTTGGCTACAAAGCTCTTAACCTCCTGGCCCATCTTCACCTTGATTCGTTTCGTGCATTCACATGCTAGGTTCCTGTCCCTCCCAGGCCCACTGCTTCCAGCACAGACGGTGCACTTTCCATATATATTTTGTTTCGAACTGTCCCCTTTCCTCCTCTCTACCCCTATGCACTTGAAAACTTCCCACATCTGTTAAAACCAAGTTTAAGCATCGCGTACTTGGTGAAGCCTTCCCCAATTCTTCCAATTCCCCTACTGCTGTTCCGCTCCTTTGGCTCCCAGGGCACTTGAGATTTGCTGCAGACTACAATGTGGCTCTTCATTCTTCTAAGTCACATGTTTGTCTCTCACCCTAGATAGACTGTAAGCACCTGATGGTCAGAGAACGGAATAAAAGTTGTTTAATAAATGTTGATATGTGAACGCGAAGTTATTTTTGGTACCAGTCTCTTCTTTTCTGTTCTGTTCTTCTTACTCCATCTGTAAAAGGCAATCAACCTGAAGTTAGATTTTTCATGCCTCTGGGCTCACCAGCTAGAGCAGGGCTGTTCAATCATATAGCCACCAGCCGCATGTGGCCACTGAATCCCTGAAGCACAGCTAGTCCAAGTTGAAAGGAGCTGTAAGTATAGAATACACACTGGATTTTGAAGACAATATGAAAAAGAGAATGTAAAAATATCTCACTAATAATTTTTTAAATTACTCACGTGTTGAAATGATAGTATTTTGGATACACTGGAATAAATAAAGTGTACTATTAAAATTAATGTCACCTGTTCCTTTTTCTATATTTAAAGTGGCTACTAGAATATTTGAAAGTACATATGTGGCATGCATCATATTTCTACTAGACATTTCTGTACCCCTTCAATCCATCACGTAGATCATTTCTTGGTGGTAAGCCTGTCTTTGTTTTCTTCTTCCTTTTCTGAATCCTTGCAGTGGGGGAATTTTCTGGGGGAAAAGACACTAAAAAACAATGTCTGTTAACTGGTTACTGCTGGACTGACTTTCCCAAAACACCCTCCCCCCTTTTTCTCCATGCTACACTCCTAATTGAAGAATCTATAGGTTTTCTATTGTGAACTGCATCGAGGCCAGATTGCTTTGTCTGGTGTGGTAAGCCTCCTTCAATCCTGCTGCACCTGACTTAGCCGGCCTCGTCTCTCACTTATCCTAAGTAGCACCCTGTCCTCGCATCTGTTTTCCAAGCTACCTGAAGTCTTCGTGTTTCTGCGTCTGCTGGTCTTGCACAGAATCTTCATCCCTGGCCCCCTTCTAAATCAAGCCGGCCTTCAAGGCATGGCTCCTAACTTCCACCTCCCACATGAGTGTTTTTCTGTTTATTGGCACTCACCCTGATGTCCTCCTAGTTACTATTTGTTAGAGCCATGCAGTTTAAGCTGTAATTTGTTCATTTACTCGGCATCCGCACTGCCATCACCATTCAATGTAATTCCACAAACATTTTTCTGTGTCAGAAATGGGGCTAGGTGAGCACTGGGGTGCAGGGTGGGGGGGCGGTGTCAGCTTTCTGCAGTGCCTGGGCTAGGAATTGGCCCCATAATGCACAGATTCCTGCCCAGGGCCTTTCTTAGCGTCTGCCCCACCACAGGCAAGACCCATGTTTATTCTGATTCCATAAGCCCCATGTTAGAAATTGCTAATAAGCCACAACACACCAAAACATTCAAACTCCCTCACCCAGGGTTCATATCCCATGGGCCTGAACTGGGCAGCTCTGGACTCCAATCACGAGTGTCTTCTTTCCCTTGTGTTGTTCTTCTTGAAC